CCACATGAGGAACTGTATTAAAGGGTCGCGGCATTAGGAACCACTGCTTTAGAGTGACCGTCCTCTCCCTCCCCATTATCTTTTTTTTTTTTTTAATTTGTTTCAGAGAGGAAGGGAGAGGGAGAGAGAGATAGAAACATCAATGATGAGAGAGAATCATGGATCGGCTGCCTCCTGCACGCCCCCTATTGGGGGTCAAGCCCACAACCCCGGGCATGTGTCCTTGACCAGAATCGAACCCGGGACCCTTCCGTCCGCAGGCCGACGCTCTATCCACTGAGCCAAACCAGCGAGGGCCCCATTGTCTTTTTCTCTTACAGGTGGCCGCCCTGGGACAACCTGTCTGGGCAGGTGACCCACTTCCTCCTCTGACACCTTTTTAACGTCTCTAATGTCCACTAAGGGCCTGGGATTCCGAGGAATAAAGGCAGGTAATAGGACATGGAATGCCTGAGGGCGTAACGCATACATCGTGAACCTGGTGCAGGCCTTAGGCCTAAAGTCACGGTCCGGCACCACCAGGGTTTAGCCAAATCCCCTGGCCAGCTCACACCCAGGAAGGGAGCCCCCCGATTCATACCAAAGAGAAAGAAAGGGGCTGTTTTGGCAAGAAGCAGTCTACGGAGGTCTCCCTGGGCATCTCAGAACCCCCGAAGTTGGCCCTCCCCCGCCCCCAGAGCTGAAATGGGAAGGAAGTTTTGCTATTACAACGTTTATTAATCCTCAGGATTTCCCCGGGGGAGGGGGGGCGGGGGTGAGCATGCATTCATGCCACAGACTTTCCGGGGTGTTCATATCCATCTCTGAAAATCCGGGGAGTCTTGAAAGCTGAGAATAGGGGTGAGACACAGCTCTTCAGCGTCTCCATTGATGGGTTCGCCCGAGTAACTGCTGGGAGATTAGCAGGTGATTATTAAGATCTGTGTCTCTCATTGACGGACCAGACAGACATTTTAAGAATCACCAGTGGCTCCTGCAATATTTCATGTTCCACGTTTCATACTAAATCTCCCAACTGGAATCGGCCAGTGGAAAGGGCAGGACCCCAGGGTTGAACTGGGAGGGGCTGCAGAAGGCAGATATTTCACAGGTAGTTTTCCCTCTCTAGAAACATTCACATTAATCTTATTTACTTATTAATTTTTAAAAATATATATTTTATTGCTTTTTTACAGAGAGGAAGGGAAAGGGATAGAGAGTTAGAAACATCGATGAGAGAGAAACAGCCATCAGCTGCCTCCTGCACATCCCCTTACTGGGGATGTGCCCACAACCAAAGTACATGCCCTTGACTGGAATCGAACCCGGGACCCTTCAGTCCGCAGGCTGACGCTCTATCCACTGAGCCAAACCAGTCAGGGTTATTAATTAATTTTTTTAAGAAATATATCTTTTTATTGATTTCAGAGAGGAAAGGAGAGGGAGAGAGAGGTAGAAACATCAATGATGAGAGAAAATCATTTGATGGGCTGCCTCCTGCACGCCCCCTACTGGGGATCAAGCCCACAACCCAGACATGGGCCCAGACCAGGAATTGAACCCCGACCACCTGGTTCATATGTTGATGCTCAACCACAGCCACACCAGCCGGGCCACATTATAATAAAAATATACTAAAAAGATAATATACTCATTATAGAAATTTGGCAAATATGCTAGGGAAGAAAGAAGAAAATAAAAATCACTTATAATTAAAAAAAACAAATAACTTTTAACTTGTCTGTATTTCCTTCTAAGTATTTTATGTATTTTTTTCAGGATAAATGTACAAACATATACATAATTGTACAAAAAGAGCCCTGACCACCCATGTGGCCCTGTGGAGGATTGTTCCAAGCTCCAAAAAGTCATAGGTTCGATTCCCACCCACAATGGGCTCGATCCCCATAGGGCCGTGGTCGGCAAACTGCGGCTCTCGAGCCACACAAAATACCACGTGTGGGCGCGCACATACAGTGCGCTTGAAACTTCGTGGCCCATGTGCAGAAGTCGGTATTTTGTGGAAGAGCCACACTCAAGGGGCCAAAGAGCCG